TGCTGTGTGAACTTAAATATTGAAATTTGCCTTTGCAACACAAATAGCTGAGTTGATTAGTCAACAGAGTATAGTTTTCTGACACCCACAACTTCAGAATTCTCTGTTGGCTTAAATTACGTCTCATTAACATATTTCCCAGTGTGCTATCACTCAAACAACAACCAACCCTGGTCACTGATGATGTCCTACGTAGGGTCGTAATTCGTTGAAGTTAAATAAAAAACAAATAGATTTGTTTCCTTCCCCGTTTCGGCAGCTTGCCGGAATCTCCATCAGACACGCTGTCTTCTAACCAGTGATGTTAAAATCTTTCCAGTTTCCGCATACAACCTGATTTCTCCCCCAATAGATATGAGTGATCAAAACTACACCGTTTTAGGCTCATATGCAGTTCATAACGTGTTAGTTTAAAAAAATACAAGTCATCTGATTACTATTGTTTCACATGTATGTGTAGATAGCACATTTTAGGTTTTCAATGATTATTGATTTGGACAGTTCAAAACTGTGTTTTGACATTGGGCTATTTATCCAAAGTTTTTAATAACAGGAAGCAGCGACAGCATAATTTTTGACTTATTTTTTAAGAATATATATGGAAGTTTCAACATTAATTTCCAATTGTATTCTATTTAATCAGGGAAAAAACTGCTGAATGAGTCCAGAAACATGCTGTGCTATTATTTTTTTTGATGATATACCAGAAATCGTGAAAACAGGAAGCCATCATTGCTTTCAAAGCTGTGTGCAGGGCTATAAAAGCACAAAGTCCTGCAAGGGGACAATTGAAGTCTGGTGTACAACCAAACGTATACTGTAGATCTACAGAGACATCATGAGAGCCACTGCAGCCGTCCTACTGGTCCACTGTCTCCTGGCCATCAGTCATGGTAAGTTAACCATCATCTGAAGCATGCTTGCTCAACTTGGAATTGATCAAATTTGCTCCATAATTTTCCTTGGTGTATTCTACTGGATTGTAAACTGTCATGGTCAAAACATATTGATACAACAGTAGCTAAGATGGGGAGAAGTATGTCCATAATAAAGGGCTGCTCTACCTTCTTAACAGCACTATCAACAAGGCAGGTCCTACAGGCCCTAGTTTTGTCACACCTGGTCTACTGTTCAGTCATGTGGTCAGGTGCCACAAAAAAGGATTTAGGAAAACTGCAATTGGCTCAGAACAGGGCAGCACGGCTGGCCCTTGGATGTACATAGAGAGCTAATATTAATAATATGCATGTCGATCTCTCCTGGCTCAAAGTGGAGGAGAGATTGACTTCATCACTACTTGTGTTTATGAGAGGTGTGTTGACATGTTGGGTGCACCGAGCTGTCTGTTTGAACTACTGGCGCACAGCTCGGTCACCCATGCATACCCCACAAGACATGCCACCAGAGGTCTCGTCACAGTCCCCAAGTCCAGAACAGACTATGGGAGGCGCACAGTACTACATAGAGCCATGACTACATGGAACTCTATTCCACATCAAGTAACTGATGCAAGTAGTAAAATTAGATTTAAAAAACAGATAAGAAAACACCTTATGGACTGTGAAGCAACACAAACATAGGCGAAGACACATGCATGCACACACACGATAACATACGCACTATAGACACACGTACACATGGATTTTTGTACTGTAGATACAGTGAGGGAATTAAGTATTTGATCCCCTGCTGATTTTGTACGTTTGCCCACTGACAAAGACATGATCAGTCTATAATTTTTAATGGTAGGTTTATTTGAACAGTGAGAGACAGAATAATAACAAAAATATCCAGAAAAACGCATATGAAAAATGTTATAAATTGATTTGCATTTGAATGAGGGAAATAAGTATTTGACCCCCTCTCAATCTGAAAGATTTCTGGCTCCCAGGTGTCTTTTATACAGGTAACGAGCTGAGATTAGGAGCACACTCTTAAAGGGAGTGCTCATAATCTCAGTTTGTTACCTGTATAAATGATACCTGTCCACAGAAGCGTTCAATCAATCAGATTCCAAACTCTCCACCATGGCCAAGACCAAAGAGCTCTCCAAGGATGTCAGGGACAAGATTGTAGACTTACACAAGGCTGGAATGGGCTACAAGACCATCGCCAATCAGCTTGGTGAGAAGGTGACAACAGTTGGTGCGATTATTCGCAAATGGAAGAAACACAAAAGACCTGTCAATCTCCCTCGGCCTGGGGCTCCATAAAGGATCTCACCTCGTGGAGTTGCAATGATCATGAGAACGGTGATGAATCAGCCCAGAACTACATGGGAGGATCTTGTCAATGATCTCAAGGCAGCTGGGACCATAGTCACCAAGAAAACAATTGGTAACACACTACGCCGTGAAGGACTGAAATCCTGCAGCGCCCGCAAGGTCCCCCTGCTCAAGAAAGCACATATACAGGCCCGTCTGAAGTTTGCCAATGAACATCTGAATGATTCAGAGGAGAACTGGGTGAAAGTGTTGTGGTCAGATGAGACCAAAATCGAGCTCTTTGGCATCAACTCAACTCGCCGTGTTTGGAGGAGGAGGAATGCTGCCTATGACCCCAAGAACACCATCCCCACCGTCAAACATGGAGATGGAAACATTATGCTTTGGGGGTGTTTTTCTGCTAAGGATACAGGACAACTTCACCGCATCAAAGGGACGATGGATGGGGCCATGTACCGTCAAATTTTGGGTGAGAACCTCCTTCCCTCAGCCAGGGCATTGAAAATGGGTCATGGATGGGTATTCCAGCATGACATTGACCCAAAACACACAGCCAAGGCAACAAAGGAGTGGCTCAAGAAGAAGCACATTAAGGTCCTGGAGTGGCCTAGTCAGTCTCCAGACCTTAATCACATAGAATATATGTGGAGGGAGCTGAAGGTTAGAGTTGCCAAAGGTCAGTGTCACGTTCGTTGATGAACGGGTCAGACCAAGGTGCAACGTGATATGCATACATGTTTATTTGAACCAAATAAACAACGACAAAACAACAAACAAAACGTGAAGTCCAAGGTACACAAACAACATACCTAACACGGAACAAGATCCCACAACCCACTAGTGCCAATTAGGCTGCCTAAGTATGGGCCCCAATCAGAGACAACGAGCGACAGCTGCCTCTGATTGGGAACCACACCGGCCAACATAGAAATACACATACTAGAATATAAACATAGAACTACACAACATAGAATATACACACCCTGACTCCACAAATAGGAGTCTCCAGAGTCAGGGCGTGACAGTCAGCCTCGAAACCTTAATGAATTGGAGAAGATCTGCAAAGAGGAGTGGGCCGTGCCGGACTGGACACACGCACCACTGGCTTGGTGCGAGGGGCAGGAACAGGCCGGGCCGGGCTGGCGACGCGCACCACTGGCTTGGTGCGAGGGACAGGAACAGGCCGGACCGGGCTGGCGACGCACACCACTGGCTTGGTGCGAGGGGCAGGAACAGGCCGGGCCGGGCTGGCAATGTGCACCACTATCTTGGTGCGAGGGGCAGGAACAGGCCGGACCGGGCTGGCGACGCGCACCACTGGCTTGGTGCGAGGGGCAGGAACAGGCCGGGCCGGGCTTGCGACGCGCACCACTGGTTTGGTGCGAGGGACAGGAACATTCCGGACCGGGCTGGCGACGCGCACAACTTGCTTGGTGCGAGGAGCGGGACTGGGTTCCTTTATTCACCCCCGCTCCTTCTGCTGCCTAACCAGCTCCTCTCGCCGTGCCTCTACACTTTCCTTCTCCCTTTTAGCCTCCTGTAGCCTCGTCATCCACCCCATGTGCCCCCCCCCAAAAAAAAAGTATTGGGGTTGCCTCTCGGGTCTCCGTCGTCGGCACGGTTGGCGCCGTTTCACCTCTCCTGCCTGGGCATCTACCTTCGCCCATGGCCCTTTCCCCGCAAATATCTCCTCCCATGACCACCATTTGCCCACCTGTGACGTGGCTATTCGCTCTTCCTAGGCACGCTGCTTGGTCCTCGTTTGTTGGGATCTTCTGTCACGTTCGTTTATGAACGGGTCAGACCAAGGCGCAGCGTGATATGCATACATGTTTATTTGAACCAAATAAACAACGACAAAACAACAAACAAAACGTGAAGTCCAAGGTACACAAACAACATACCTAACACGGAACAAGATCCCACAACCCACTAGTACCAATAGGCTGCCTAAGTATGGTACCCAATCAGAGACAACGAGCGACAGCTGCCTCTGATTGGGAACCACACCGGCCAACATAAAAATACACATACTAGAATATAAACATAGAACTACACAACATAGAATATACACACCCCGACTCCACAAATAGGAGTCCCCAGACTCAGGGCGTGACAGTCAGCCTCGAAACCTTAATGAATGGAGAAGATCTGCAAAGAGGAGTGGGACAAAATCCCTCCTGAGATGTGTGTAAACCTGGTGGCCAACTACAAGAAACGTCTGACCTCTGTGATTGCCAACAAGGGTTTTGCCACCAAGTACTAAGTCATGTTTTGCAGGGGGGTCAAATACTTATTTTGCTAATTAAAATGCAAATCAATTTATAACATTTTTGACATACGTTTTTTTCTGGATTTTTTTGTTGTTATTCTGTCTCTCACTGTTCAAATAAACCTACCATTAAAATTATAGACTGATCATGTATTTGTCAGTGGGCAAACATACAAAATCAGCAGGGGATCAAATACTTAATTCCCTCACTGTATGTGGTAGTGGTGGAGTAGGGGCCTGAGGGCACACAGTATGTTGTGAAATCTGTGAATGTATTGTAATGTTTTTTAAATTGTATGAACTATCTTAATTTTGCTGGACCCCAGGAAGAGTAGCTGCTGCCTTGGCAGGAACTAATGGGGATCCATAATAAAGCCCAGGAAGAGTAACTGCTGCCTTGGCAGGAACTAATGGGGACCCATAATAAATACAAATACAAATACTCATATGTCTTTGTCTCTATAGCATGGGACTGTCAGGAGGTAGTAAACATCAAGAATCTGATGCAGATCGATGCAGGACTGGGACAAGTGGTTGCAACGGACACAAGTCAAATCCCCTACTACCTGGTAGGTGATGAATGGATCCGCCTGCCTGGTTCCCTGAAGCATATCACTGTGGGACCAGCAGGGATCTGGGGTGTCAACAAGGGAGATTCAATCTACAAGTATGTGGCCGGTAACTGGGTGCAAGCTGCAGGTAAGTAGAGGGCATTGCTCAATATTTATCCATAGGACACCTACTTTCAGTGGCGGAAAAAGTACTCAATTGTCATACTTGAGTAAAATTAAAGATACCTTAATAGAAAATGACTCAAGTAAAACTGAAAGTCACCCAGTAAAATACTACTTGATCAAAAGTCTAAAAGTATTTGGTTTTAAATATACTTAAGTATCAAAACAAAATGGAATTATTAATATGTACTTCAGTATCAAAAGTAAAAGTAAAAGTATAAACCATTTCAAAGTCCTTATATTACATTTTTTTACGGATAGCCAGGGGCACACTCCAACACTCAGACATAATTTACAAAGGAAGCATTTGTGTTTAGTGAGTCCGCCAGATCAGAGGCAGTAGGGATGACCAGGGATGTTCTCTTGATAAGCGTGTGAATTTGACAATTTTCCTGACAAAATGTAACAAGTACTTTTGGGTGTCAGGGAAAATGTATGGAATAAAAAGTACATTATTTTATTTAAAGGTAAAAGTTTTGCAAAATATAAATATTAAAGTATAGTACAGATACCCCCAAAAACGACTTAAGTACTTTACACCACTGTCTACTTCTTATCTTTCCTGATACCATCACGGTGTTGAAACATGATTCATTGTTTTCTTGTCTGTCTTTGTGGTCTTCAGGCCTTCTGAAGCAGGTGGATGCTGGGGGTAACCAGTTTATTGTGGGGGCTAACATGAACGATACTCCGTACTGTCTGACAAGTAGTGCCACAGTTGGCTACAAGGGTCCAGGTTCACCCATTCCATGGACAGGATTGCCAGGAGCTGTGAAGTACTACAGTTGTGGACCCTTTGGGTGCTGGGCAGTCAACAAGAATGATGATATCTACTTAATGAGTGTAAGATCTGGGAAAGAGTGTGAGATCTGGAGTAGAGTAGTATAGTGTGGAGAGTCTGTTATTTTACAACTGTAGTATTATAACTGTAGAAATGGTCCTAAAACCCTGATTGTATCTGTTTGTTTCCAGCTGAATCAAGACTGCCAAGACAAGGGGTGGAGTCACATTGGCGGCAAGCTTTCCATGATTGAGGTGGCAACTGATGGTAGTGTCTTTGGGGTCAACTCTGTGGGTGATGTTTATACCAGGTAAGGTTGCTACTGAGCTATATGTATAGTTCCACCCTTTTCACCCTCAACATGATTAACTTAAAAATGACTTGTAATAATAATCAAATCTAAACTTACATAATAGACTTATGAAGGAATGTGAAGACAGTGTACTGTAAAATATGTAGAAGTTCGATCTCCTTTAAAGCTACAGTTTGGGATAAAAAAAAACTACTAAATGACCACCCCGCCACTTGTTTTAGTAAACAGATGAGGGATGGGACAGGAGAAATGTAGCCGCTCTCTAATTCATAGATGGATCAATAGATGTAAGGACAGACAGATGAGAACAAAATGATTGTTCATTTTAAACATGTTTGTAAAGCTATAGACATGGACTACGATGCATTTTATAAGTAACATTTATAAGTAATATTCTCAAACCAATGGCTTTAACAATTAGTAAAGTCAACCTTTTTTGTTTTCTTTTACAAAAAAAATAAAATATGGCTTAAGGGTTGAATTTCCCACCACTTAAAAAAAAAAAAAGGGTAGTTCTGAACCCCCTTAACCAACATAAAGTCTCAGGACCCTTGCTGCCTTCCCTATCCGTTATCTACTGTTTACCCCTTTTTCTCTTTTCCCTTTTTTTATAAACCCAACAATTTACATTGGGAACCCTCCAACTTTTATAAACCCCCAAAAAACTCATCCTAAAGAAGTTTTTTTTTTTTGGGGGGGGGGGGAAAAAAGGGGGAAAGGGGGGGAAAAAAAAAAAACCAAAAAAGGGGAAAAAGGGGGGGGGAAAAAAAAGGGGGAGGGAAAGGGGGCGGGGGGGCCAAAATGGGGGTTTTTGGGGTACGGGGCCAAACTACAATTTTACTTTAAAACAACTAAAAAGAAATTAAAAAATTTAATAAAAAAATTTAATTAAATAAAGGAATTAAACAGTTCAAATAAAAATGTTCCTAAAACTACAATTGGATTTTTAAGAAAACCCCCAAAAAAATTAAAGGCAACACCCAAAAACGTAAATATTCATTAAAACACTTTTTATTAAACGTTGAAAAATTTACACTTTTTTTAAAACCATTTTTAAACCAAAAGAAAAAAAATTTTTCCCCTTCCCGTTTTTAAATTAAATTTTTTCCATTTTAAACAACTTTTCAATTTTTCCCATTTTTTATTAATACAATGTTTTTATTTAAAAAAAACCCCCTTTTTTGTTTAAAAAAAAAAAATTTGACCCCCTTTTTTTTTTAAATTAAAAACCCCCTTTTTTAAAAAACCCAAAACTGGTTAAAAATTTAAAAAAAATTTTTTTTTCTAAAAAAGGGGCAAAACAAAACCATTCCCAAATCGCCCCACAGAGGTAACCAGGGGTAGGGAGCGTGTCTTTTGAATCCTTGATGTGAACTGGGTCACTTCAACGTAGCTTTGCATCAAGGCCGATCAGGATCTGTCTAAAGTTCACTGCTAACTCAATGATCTCTCTTTCTGGAACACTTCTACTGAGAATTTCAACATTAGTTCATAAGAACTTCATTTTAAAACTATGCTCTAACTATATTTTTTCAGTACTTTATCTCTGTCAATAGTAAACACTGATCTTATTGACATAATCAAAAAAAATATCATAAATGAAGATTTTTCTCACATAAAATTGATAAGCAACAGCATTAAAAAAGTATCTTTGTTTTGATCACTCCTTGATTAACACTTCAATAGAGCTTTGCCATGGATGCTATTTGATCGTAGTGTAAACTTGGGCACGGTCATGTTGCTCACAATCCACAAGAGTTTTGCTGTGCTTCAGAGTTCATCAATAGGGTTGGATGGAATCCTTGTCAATGCTTATTATCTCATTATATAACAGTTTCCCGCAAAAATAAAGCATTCAGTTTGAAACTATTATATTTTCTGTGTTGTTTTTTAATCATAATTTTTTAGATACATGCCAGCAAAGCCACTACACAACACAACATTAAACAATACATTAATTGTACTATAAGGGTGACAAACGGTGCCGACAAACTGTTAGGGCCTACATAAAGCTGTCTCGACAGTGGAGCTTTCCTTTCAGCACCATGGAATGAAACCTTACCACCACTACACCTGGCTGTCAGCAGAGCCTGGCAACCTGGTCTCAGAGCATTTTGTATTATTCTGTACGTAAATCCAATACACTCCATTTAGTATGATATATTTGGTATGGTTTGTATTCATTTGTGAATGTCCATCACCCATTTCGTATGATATGTTACGAATTACAATTGGTATTATATGTTACGAATTTGCAAAGCGTAAAATATGTAGCTAAAAAGTAGTAAGTAGTTAAAGTTACTAATTAGCTAAAATGCTAAAGTTATCCGTGATGACATTTGAACTAACAACCTTAGGGTTGCAGACGTTCTCGTTATACGTCCTCCCATCCACCCCGACCTAAGTAACCATTTGTCTTATGTAACCATACAAACCAAACATATCATACTAATTTGAGTGTCCCGGACATACGTTTCTGAGAAAAGGCTGAGCCTCGTCTGGCAGCAAAACAGTTTATTCAGCCTCATTTACTGCATTTAAAAACAACATAGCTAATACGGTATGGCTGACTTGCTTAAATAAATATGGTTTCTACTGATTCCTTGTGGATTTGTGTAACTCAATAAGAACCGCATTCTCCTTCAATAATAACGAATTCTGACATGAGTTTTGATTTTTGAACTATACACAAACATTATTACATTTATGTTAAGTAAATTAACAAGCTGTGACGAGGTAGGCCTATTCCTTCAGCACTTTCAAAATGGACCACCGACAGAAATTCAGATGTATTCAGCAAGATGTTGAGGCATTAACTTTACTCTTCTTTAAACCACAGAGAGAGAGAGACAGTTAGCCTGCCATTTGAAGTATTTTATTAGGCCTATGTGGTCTAAAAAGGAAGGAAAATACAATCACGAGGATCCACTTTTATAGGCAATATACCGACGCACAGACAGCGCATTGCGCAAACAAAACAAACCTCGCCATATCAACTGGAATTACATGGGTCTATTACTGACCTTTTTGTTGAAAAAAACAACATTTGAATGGGAAGAGAGAGTCACCGGTAAACATGGTTACAGACCCAACAACATTATATAGTATCCCCTCCTCATGGTTACAGACCCAACAACATTATATAGTATCTCCTCCTCATGGTTACAGACCCAACAACATTATATAGTATCCCCTCCTCATGGTTACAGACCCAACAACATTATATAGTATCTCCTCCTCGTGGAGAAAAGCACATGAACTAATTATAATACACAAAGTAAGCAAAACAATGAAATGCATCATTCCAACATTACCTAAAATGATTAATAAGATACTGAGATAGACCTACAGTGGGGAAAAAAAGTATTTAGTCAGCCACCAATTGTGCAAGTTCTCCCACTTAAAAAGATGAGAGAGGCCTGTAATTTTCATCATAGGTACACGTCAACTATGACAGACAAAATGAGAAAAGAAAATCCAGAAAATCACATTGTAGGATTTGTAATGAATTTATTTGCAAATTATGGTGGAAAATAAGTATTTGGTCAATAACAAAAGTTTCTCAATACTTTGTTATATACCCTTTGTTGGCAATGACACAGGTCAAACGATTTCTGTAAGTCTTCACAAGGTTTTCACACACTGTTGCTGGTATTTTGGCCCATTCCTCCATGCAGATCTCCTCTAGAGCAGTGATGTTTTCAACTCCCTCCAAAGATTTTCTATGGGGTTGAGATCTGGAGACTGGCTAGGCCACTCCAGGACCTTGAAATGCTTCTTACGAAGCCACTCCTTCGTTGCCCGGGCGGTGTGTTTGGGATCACTGTCATGCTGAAAGACCCAGCCACATTTCATCTTCAATGCCCTTGCTGATGGAAGGAGGTTTTCACTCAAAATCTCACGATACATGGCCCCATTCATTCTTTCCTTTACACGGATCAGTCGTCCTGGTCCCTTTGCAGAAAAACAGCCCCAAAGCATGATGTTTCCACCCCCATGCTTCACAGTAGGTATGGTGTTCTTTGGATGCAACTCAGCATTCTTTGTACTCCAAACACGACGAGTTTAGTTTTTACCAAAAAGTTCTATTTTGGTTTCATCTGACCATATGACATTCTCCCAATCCTCTTCTGGATCATCCAAATGCACTCTAGCAAACTTCAGACGGGCCTGGACATGTACTGGCTTAAGCAGGGGGACACATCTGGCACTGCAGGATTTGAGTCCCTGGCGGCGTAGTGTGTTACTGATGGTAGGCTTTGTTACTTTGGTCCCAGCTCTCTGCAGGTCATTCACTAGGTCCCCCCGTGTGGTTCTGGGATTTTTGCTCACCGTTCTTGTGATCATTTTGACCCCACGGGGTGAGATCTTGCGTGGAGCCCCAGATCGAGGGAGATTATCAGTGGTCTTGTATGTCTTCCATTTCCTAATAATTGCTCCCACAGTTGATTTCTTCAAACCAAGCTGCTTACCTATTGCAGATTCAGTCTTCCCAGCCTGGTGCAGGTCTACAATTTTGTTTCTGGTGTCCTTTGACAGCTCTTTGGTCTTGGGAGCGTAACTGTTTGAGGTTGTGGACAGGTGTCTTTTATACTGATAACAAGTTCAAAGAGGTGCCATTAATACAGGTAACGAGTGGAGGACAGAGGAGCCTCTTAAAGAAGAAGTTACAGGTCTGTGAGAGCCAGAAATCTTGCTTGTTTGTAGGTGACCAAATACTTATTTTCCACCATAGTTTGCAAATAAATTCATTAAAAATCCTACAATGTGATTTTCTGGATTTTTTTTCCTCATTTTGTCTGTCATAGTTGATGTGTACCTATGATGAAAATTACAGGCCTCTCTCATCTTTTTAAGTGGGAGAACTTGCACAATTGGTGGCTGACTAAATACTTTTTCCCCCCACTGTATATACAGTGAGGGAAAAAAGTATTTGATCCTCTGCTGATTTTGTACATGACATGATCAGTCTATAATTTTAATGGTAGGTTTATTTGAACA